CTCCATTAATACAGTCAGCACACGTTTTCTCTTGATCTGCGTCTTGCCTTCCCGCCGTATTCGTCTCGTTGTCCACTTGGCCGAACATGTTTGCAGAAAGGGCTTCGTCAGCATGAGCGAGACTTTGACCGTGTCCACGGAATCTGGGGCTAAAGCAGGCCACGATGGCACCAGACAAGTTTATGTTCAAATGTTTATGTTTGTTATTGTTACTCCCTTCCCTAACCCTCCTTTCTTTGCACCCCCCTTCCACCCTTCCACACCTCCCCCCTTTCGCCTTCCCCTCCCTCCCTCATTCCCTCCCCCCTCTCCTCTCCCCGTCCGCAATGCGCAACGTGAGTACGACTCTCCTCTATCCTCGGATCCTGCCCTAGCGGGGTCAGTTTCTCTTCGCGTCGTGTTTGTAGCGTGCAGGACCCTAGACGTTGACGTACTGTCTGTGCTTTCGTTCCCCTCAGGACGGTTTCGGTCTTTCAGAGTTGCGTTCCCGCAGCAGCGTTGGCCCCATTCCATCCTCCTCCTCCTCCTCCTCGCCCCCTCCTCCTCGTCCTCCTCCTCCTCCTCCTCCTCCTCCTCCTCCTCCTCCTCCTCCTCCCCCTCCTACTCCTCCTCCTCCTCCTCCTCCTCCTCAGGATCAGCACTCTGCTGCCATTGCTCAGAGGGCCTTCTCGCCCCCATCGCGGGCCACCTCTTCCCGGTTCTCCGAGGCCTTCTCGCCGCTGCCGCCCCCCTGTCTGTTGGATGCCCGACGGGGGTACGGAAGAGCTTGGTGCGATGCTCAGCAGCACGTGTTCTCCCAAACCGTCAGCGGCCGCTGCCGGGCAGGCGGCCTTCTGTCTCCCGCCTGGCATCGCTCGGGTTTTGTGCGTTTTGTCCCCGGCGAGGACCATCGAGGAGCATCCTTGACCATTCGCCGAAAAATAACGCGCACGAAACCGATAAAAAAACAGGGAATGGACGTCCGAGCGATGGCGAGCCAGTGGGCACATGCCGCGGCGACAGCGACCGCGAGGCCCGTCCAAAAAACGAGCAGGAACTGCTGTCGGTCTTCTCCCGCCCCCAGTTCGATCGGCCCAGTTCCTGTATCCTCCTTTCCGCCTCCCCCTGGTCCTCCTGCTCCTCCCGCTCCTCCCGCTGCTCCTGCTGTTGCTGCTGCTGCTCATGCGGGCAATAGTTACATCCACATCCAGTGCGTCTTGGATTCTGGGGCTTTCTTCCCCAGAAACCGTAGACGCACTGGATATGGATAATATTCTCGCCCCAAGAGGCTTGATTTTATCCATATCCAGTGCGCCTCGGCGTTGCGGCACCTCTTCCAAACAAGTCCACGACGCTCTGGATATGGATAGAAGTACTGCCCGCAGCTCACCCTCCCGTCTTTCCTACTCCTCCTGCTCATCCTCCTACTCGTTCGCAAGGTCCTATGGCTCCTCCCTGCCTGGCATCGCTTGGACGTGTACATCATTGCTTTTCCGGCGAGGACCATCGATGAGCATCTTGGCCATATCGCGAACCGCATGCACGCACGATTCCGACACATGCACGGGGAATGGACGCCCGAGCGATGGCAAGGCGGGGGCCACTTTGTGGAGCCAGGCCCGCCGGGACTTCCGCGGCGGATCCGGGCGTGCATTTGGGCAGTGGGGAGGGGCGCGTGGCCGGGGCCCGGCTGTGAGGCGTGGCGTGCGCGCACCCAGCGTGCTTCGCCCCCCTGCGGCCTCCTCCGCCCCTCCTCCTCCTCCTCCTCCTCCTCCTCCTCCTCCTCCTCCTCCTCCTCCACCGACTCCTCCTCCTCCTCCTCCTCCTCTTGCCCCTGGTGCAGTTTGCCTCTGCTCCTGGAGCTCCTCCTTCTGTCAGTGCTCCTTTTGGGGGACCCTCCCGTGGACCGCCGACGGATCGGTTCGGCTCCAGTGCGACTCAAGCTCGATGCAAATGCGACTCCAGTTCGACTCGGGTTCGGCTCCAATCGACGCACCTTCGACGCAGCTTCGACGCACGAGTGGGGCGAGTGTCTCCAGGGAGGTCCCCAGAATGAGCATCCAACCCTCTTCTGTTTCGCGCCGATCCCCGCCCCTCGGTCCTGCCCTCCCCTCCCGCGGCGGTGGCAAATCACGGGGGCCGTGCGTACCCTCTGAATCTCATGGTCTTCGGCCCGTCCCGTCACTGTGCCTGGGCTGTGGGTATGAAGCTCATTGGATGTTCGCTGGGACGTCTCGGGAGGCCACTCGGGGGCCATTTTTCTGGGGCCGCTTTGGGGGCCTCTCGAGGGCCCCTTTTTGGGGGCCTCTTGGGGGCCTCTTGGGGTCTCCTTGGCGCCTCTCGGGGTTTCTCCTTGGGCCCCAAGAGGCGCCAGGGAGGCCCCTCTCTTGGGCCCCTTTTTGGGTCGTCTTGGGCCCTCTTGGGCTGTCTTGACGCCTCTTGGACCCTCTTGGGGCCCTCTTAGGCCGTTTTGGGGTTGGAGGCCTTTTGGGCCGCCTTGGGGCGGTCTTGGAGGCCTCTTGGGCCGTCTGGGAGAACACCTGTTGACAATCAGCGATCTTGCCCTCTTGGGGCCTCCTCCGGAGGCCTCTTGGGGCGTCTTGGGGGATGTTTGGGCCGTCTTGAGTTGATCTTAAGTAAGCGTCTTGGGCCGATCGTTGGGGCCTCTTGGGCCCCGTCGTGGGGCCCTCTTGGGCCGAAACAAATCACGCGCCACCACTTCCCGAAGCCCAGAGGGGCAAGCGCCAAGCCCTGGGAGATTTGAGAATTTTGGGACCGGGCCCCTTGAAGACTCTTCAGGAGTGAGGACTGGCTTAAAAGATTAGGCAAAGGACCTGAGGACGCCCACTCTGTGCCCAGCGGCACGGTGGCGGATTCTGTCTTTAGAGTGCATTAGCTTAGCGTCTGGTAATCGATGAGATCGCGCCGATAATGCATCGATTAGTGTCGATTAGCGTCGATTTAGCGTGTCGGCTAGCGTTGATTCGCACGGGCCAGCAATGTGGTATGGGAGGCCCCTAGGAGTTGCCGCAGAGCCCTCCTGCGCTCTCGCGGAGGATTATCCGCTCCCAGCCAAAGAGACTTCTAAAAACATGCGGCCGTTAAGCCAAGACTGGGGGCGCCGGGATACACGTTGGATCCGAATAGCCCCCTTGGCAGCTTGGCAGCGTATCACACACAGGATTTTTTGTCGCATGCACCTTTACTGAGGATGGACAGTATGGACGTTTCCCCCCCGAATGGGGCCCCGAATTTGCGGTCCAGCCGAACACCCGACAAGGTCCATGCACCTCCTCACGCCTCGAAAACATCGACGCGGGCGTTTCTGTTCCCACCTTGGGCCTCTCGAGGCTGGCTCCAGGCCCCCGAAACCGTCAACAACTGATCCGGATCCCCTGGGAAGGGGGCCTGGCAGCTCCAGGGCCCGCATCCCCAGGGCATTGCACACGTCTGGGTCCGCGTCCCCACGCTGCGGGGGGTCCAGGCTCGGATTGTTTTCGGGCGATCGCAAACATGGATTGAGGGGGCGTGGATTAGCGACGGGTCCCGTTTCCTTGAGAAATCGTGGTTTTCCGCCGCCGAACGAGGCGGCACCGGCCGCATTTTGGGGAGGGCACCTCCCCCGATCCGTGGATGTGCCGACCGCGCACCAAATCCATGGATCGCTGATCCACGTAGGCGCGCCCCCGATGTGTAGACGCTGCTCTCTTGAGCCTCCAGGGCTCGCCGGAGGGCTCCATACAGTGCTGTTGTTAATGCATGCTCTGCGTGCAGATCATGTTTTAAAATGCAGGGAATTCGTTTTAAAAACAACGATGAGTTCATGCGTAAATTTATTCATACATTGATCATGCATTAAAATCACATACTTGTTTCCAAAATCTTGTGTATTCAAAACTGCCCTGTATGGAAGAGTCTTCGGAGACCTCCGCGACGGAATGCCCAGGGGTCTGCAGCCCCCTCGGTGTTCCGACTTCGCCACGACGCAGCTGGACTCTGACGTCTCTCGCCGTGGCCTTCCGCAGGCCCTCCGCGGGCCCGGGGATGGCCCGAGAGCGGCTCCGGGCGAGAGCGTGGTGTTTTCTGGGAGGGTCTCGTGGCCCAGGGCTCGGTTCCGGTTCCTCCAGGATGAGGAGGAGGAGGAGGAGGAGGAGGGTTTAGGAGGAGGAGGAGGAGGAGGAGGAGGGCCTCGTGGCCCAGGGCTCGGTTCCGGTTCCTCCAGGCTGCGGCCCACTCGTGCCCCCCAATGCGGGGCGGGCTTGGACGGAAGGGGGGGAATTGGGACAGGGGGGGGTTACGAAATTTGCTGCATGCAGCTGGTTCTGGCCTCACCGAGGGGCTCCTTCCTCGATACATGGCCGCCTCCCGGCGCCGGGAGGCGCCGGGGAAAATCAGCTCCGAGAGCTGATTCTCAGACCCCCCCTTTGCTGTGCCCCCCTTTCGCCTGGCCCGATCCAGGATGCGGTCCACTCGTGCCACCCAATGGAATCGCCTGCCTGGTCTGGAGGGAGCGTCGGCGACGGCTGCAAGCACCGCGTCAGCTCTCGTGGAGCATGCCGTGCACGAGTGCGCTGTCGTAGCACGTGTGCCCTCCGACGGCCTGCACAAAATGTTTGTGTTGGCGCGACGCTCGCTCGCAGTCAACGCGCCCGGTAAGGATGGAGCGACTTTCTTGTGTTACTCAAGATTTCGTGATGAAAGGGAGGGGGTCTGGACCCTCCAAGACAAGCCATTTCAGACCTCCCCCGTGGGAGAACCCTCCAAAACATCGTCCCCAGACCCCCCCAGGCCCTCCAAGATAGCCTGGAAGAGACCCCCCCCCGAAATGAGACCCCCCTCCCTTTGTTACGAAATCTGGAGTACCCGCGCAGCCTTCCCCCCCCCGGCCCATCCTTGTCACACGGGTTCACCGCAATCGTTCGGGGGCGAGCGGGTCTCGAGAGTCCTGCCCTCGGCGCCCACGCAGGAGCGCTCCAAGGGCGACGGCAGCGCCAGGCCCCCGCCCCCGCGGCGGCGCGACGGCCCGTCTCCGACCCGGGCCAACGCCCGCTCGCGGGCCGCGGCGTGGCACCTCCCGCCCTTCCTCCTCCTCCTCCTCCTCCTCCTCCTCCTCCTCCTCCTCCTCCTCCCCCTCCTCCTCCTCCTCCTCCTCCTCCTCCTCCTCCTCCTCCTCCTCCCCCTCCCTCTCCTCCTCCTCCTCCTCCTCCTCCTCCTCCTCCTCCTCCTCCTCCCTCCTCCTCCTCCTCCTCCTCCTCCTCCTCCCCCTCCCCCTCCTCCTCCTCCTCCTCCTCCTCCTCCTCCTCCTCCTCCTCCTCCTCCTCCTCCTCCTCCTCCTCCTTCTCTTGACCCGCTGTTGCACAGTGCCGCTGTGCTAACATGGTCTGAAGTCGAGTCTGCACTGCTCGGGCCCTCGCGGTTTCGTGCCCTCGTTCCGTCGGTCGCTCCCTCGGTCGGCGCTGTTTGGGTCCTGGGGTTCCGTCCCTGGTCCCCTTGTCGGACCCTTCGGGCCCCCCGTCGCGCGTCGGCTGCGTGCAGGAGTTCTTGTTCTGACGAGAACCCGCGTGAAAATAAAAAACGCCCCCTCCCGCCGCTCCCGCTGCCTTTTTACCCGTAGGGGAGGCGTAGGGCTTCGCCAACCGCTTCTTGACGGGCCCGCCTATGCACTCTTGCCCGTCCAGTTCTCTCTCTGGGATGCCTGCGGCGGCAGGTCGCGTCACATGGTAGGCCGGGCCTCGCCATGCTCCTGACGGGCCCCGTCGGACCAACCCGAGCCCCACGTCTTCTCGCATGCTGCATGTGCGAGGGCTGTCTGCTCGTTGACTTGCGAGCTCTCCCGTATCCGCCGCGGTCCCCCCGTGAGCCGCTCGCTCCGTCCGCCCTTCTTTCGGCCGCGCCCTCCCTCCGCTCCTCCCCCTACGCATGGTGGCACACTTCGCTCAAACGGCGTCCCCGTTTGGGCTCCCCATCGCCAGCGCAGACGTCCCTTGCCGAGCCGCCGACGCAACAACTATCCGCCGCGGGCCCGACGTGGACTCGGCGCGGGTTCGGCGTGGACACGGCGCGGAGCCGCCTCGAAGGTAGCGGCGCGACGGGAGCGACGGATCCCCGCCGAGGTGTCGCATTTTACTTCTGCCGCCGCTTCGGCCTGCCCCCCCTCTCTCTCTCAGACCGGCCGCGGGAGCGAACGCTTGAGGCGCCCGTCCTCCTCGTTCACGCCTTGCTCCCTCCTCCTCCTCCTCCTCCTCCTCCTCCTCCGCCTCCTCCCCCCCACCTCCTCGATCCTTCCTCCTGAATCCTCCTCCTCTCGATCCTCACCTCCCCTCGATACTCTCGACAGATTCCTCCTCGCCCTCTCGAACACCCCTCGTATCGATCCTCCCCTCGCCCGCTCCTCCTCTCGACCCTCTCCTCTCTGAGCGCTTCGCGTGGCCAAAACCGCCCATCTAGCAGCTGGTGTCACGCCGAGCTCAGCGTTGTCTGGTGTGGCCTGGTGTCGTCTGGGCCAGCACGATTTCAGTGAGCTTGGGTGTAGTGGCGCCACTACACCCCGGCGCAGGCCGAATCTGCTCCTGGCGGGGCGGTGGATTCATCAAAGCACCAAGATATCAGGGCAGGGGCTGGCCAGGGATATAGATCCTGATTCTGGCCGTCGCTTTTGCGCCACAGTTACCCCACGTTCCAGTCAACCTGGGTGTTCCGGGTCGCATTCTGCCCCACAAACAAGTGTTATCCCGGATCGAGCGGTTCCCAGATTTCCCGGACTACATGTGGGCGCCTCAAGCAGGGCCCTACCCAGACCAGGTCTATCCCAAATAACGCGGGACTCCAAAATTAATGAGAGTGTTTCGTAGTGATTTCATCGATTACCACTTATTATGTTTTATTATGTTCGGCGGGTGATGGCGCAACCTGTGCCGCAACCAAGTCGCAGGCTAGTGACAATTGCTGGTTGACCCAGAAGTGGATCCAGCGACAAGGCAGTGGTGCAATAGATTTGGTGCAATAGATTTGCGGGGTTGCAATAGATGCGGGACGTGCAATACATTCTGGTGCGCAAATGTATTGCTCGGTTTTTGAGTGCAAGACGTTAGTTGCAATACAATGCAATACGGTTCTCTTTCGCAATACATTTGCAATACGAATGCCCCAAGCCTATTGCGCCACCCCCTTTCAGCTGGACCCCTCTTTTGGGTCAACCAAACATTTCGGCGGCCGAAGACGCAACCAGCGGCGCGGCCAGCATAATGCCGTGTGACGTTTCGGTGGCCCTCGGCGCAGTATCATGGCGCCACCGAGCCCACCAGGCGCAACATCTAAAGACGCGCAGCCTGTGGCGCCTTCATTGGGGTGCGACCTCTGCCGTAAGCTCGTGGCGCAAGGATTGATGCAAACCATAACGCAGCCCTTAACGCAGCCCTTGGCGCAGCCCTTGACGCAACCTTGATGCAACCTACGGCGCAGCCCTTGACGCAGCCTTCGACGCAGCCCTTGACGAAGGCCGTGCAGCATATGCAGCGCTCCTTTCCCACATTCGACGTCCCCTGTCCCCCCATCCTCCCTCCTTTCCCCTCCCCTGTCTGTTTTGAGTGTTCTTCTGTCGCAGTGGTGGTGTCGAAGGTGGTACACGTGCGCCACGCGCCCCGAGGTTGACCGTAAACCGAGCACGCTCTTAGCGAAGCCGCGGGCCGATGAGGACCTCCCCTGTCCTGTTCCCACCTCCCCCGGCACATTCAGGCACCGTTCCCGGGAGGCTTCGACCGACAGGCGCGTCCACTGAGCTCCGTCGTCGAGGGTCAGGTCGGGCACCGGCTCCACTGATGCAACACCCCTGATCCGAGCGCGGTAGACGACCACCACCGCCGAGATTGGAGAAAGTGCAGGGTTTTTTTCGGAGCAGCGTGGCTCCTGCTGGGAACCCGCGGTCGCGTCCACGGCGGCGATGGCGACTGGGGTCGCCCCCTCGCGCCCGATGGACAAGAGCGAGTCTGTTCGAAGGCAACGCGGTGGTCGTGTGCACGATTGTGGTTACACGGGGGGCACCCTGCGGCCTCCTTACTCCTCTTCGGGTCCCAGTTGGTCGTCAGGAACCCGCAGATATCATCATGCCCTCTCCGGCGTCCTCCTCCCTTCACTGCTCCTATACCTCATCTTCACCCCAGTCGTCCTCCACTGTTCCACTCCAAGCAAAGCGTCGCGGACTGGAGCACTCTAGGCCACCCAAAGTCTAGATTGTCGATCCCCCTCCGAAGCATCACCCTGGGGGAAGGTGTAATTTTGCAGAAGGGCATTCTCCACACAGCCTGCTCCTTCACAATGTCCCGCAAAGGGCAGTACGAGGGTGGCCACTTGTTGCGAGTACATCACCTCTCTGGGTTTCGGCATCCTGTTGCTGACATAGGGTTCCAGAAGCTCCCCTCCCTGGGCCACTTCGCAGAGGTGGGGTTGGACGTCGACGTGACCCCTGTCTTCCCATCAGTTTTCTACGGACTTGGCATCGCTCGGACGTGCGCCTCTTTTTCATTCGGCGAGGACCATCGAGGAGCCTCCTTGACCAATTGGCGAAAAAAAACCACGCACGAAACCGAAAAAAGCACAGGGAAGGGACGTCCGAGCGATGGCCAGAGGGAGATTTTCGACGAAAAATAAAAAATACCCCCAAAATAGTCAACAAAATAGTCTGGGGACTATTTTTGTTAGTATTGTTTGACCTTTTTGGTGCATTTCTGTGTCATTGTTCATTGTTCGTCGAAAATCCTCCTGCAGGGGGACACGCCCGACAGACGGATCAATCTGTTCCAGAGCGTTCCGGAACGCTCTCAGAGCGTTCCGGGACGCTCTGAGAAGGCCGCGGCGCCCGAGACATCCTCCAGAGCCGCTGTCTGGCCGGACCTTCGCTCTCCCCCGGCCAGGCGGACCTGCCGTGCAGGTCAGTGCTCGGTGCCGCGGCGGCCCCGCGGGTCGGGCCCCTTTGGGCCGCCGGGCCCCGCGGCCGCGGGGCGCTGTTGCGCGCGGGGGCCCCGCGCGGAGCGCGTCCGTGGCGACCGCGCACCCGCGGGGCCACGCTCGGGGAAGTTAAAACGACGCGAAGATCGGGACAACATCGGATCGGGATAACTCGAAATCTCTGAGAATCGGCGGGTTTGGAGGATGTATTGGGCGCCGCGGCCTTCTCAGAGCGTTCCGGAACGCTCTGAAGGCGCTCCGGAACGCTCTGGAGCGATTTATCCCGATCCTAGCCCTGTTTTACACGCTCGGGGAAGGCAGACCGCAGCGGTGCGGATGTTGTCGTGCTCGCCCTTCGTGAGGACGCGGTAACCATCAGGAGCGAAAGAAGGGCGTGCATGTACATGAATCCACGCCGGTTTCGAGAGCACGCATGGCACAGATGTTGGTATCACGCGGCCGGTCTCGCAAATCGACGGGCCGTGTTCATGTACATAGCTGGGCGCGTACGTCCTTTTTGGGCTCCCTACGGTACGACGTTGATCATGCTTTGGCGGTCGGATGTCGGCGCAAGACATGGGAGGTAAGTCGGGACAGGAGTCATGTTTGTGTGTGCATCGTTCTGGTAGCTGGGGCGGTCCACCTTCTAACTGACGCCTCATCGAGATCGCATCATCGGTCGATGGTTCGCCTTCCTGGTTGATGCGCGAGAGCCTGCGGCCACATCATGCATGTCCGCCATCATCCATATTCTCTTGCGCTTCCTTTAGGTGAGCGGTGCAAAAACAAAACGGTGAAGACGGCGACGGCAATCGCGTGATAGCTGTCCTCGTGAGGTCGTGTGTGAGTTCCTTCTTATGCACGTGGTGTTCTGCGCGAGCGGCCTGCCCAAGAGCCACCGCGCAGGTTCGATATGCCATTCGTTTAAAACAAATCCTTTACGGCCTCCTGAGTGCAATGGTCAGAGTGAGGAGGCCAAACAGTCTTACACCATTCATGGGAGCGTATCTGAAGTAGGCTTCCAGTTTAAGGATTATTGTTGCTTGTCTGTTGTCGTTGTCCTCGCCCGCAACCTGCCCACGATCAACCCGCGATCAACCCGCGACGCGCCTGCGACCCGCCCGCGACACACTAGCGACCCCCCTGCGACCCACGCGCGACCCGCCCGCGACCTATTTCCGACCCACCCCCATTGCTTTGACAACCATTCAGCGCCTGCGGCGGGCTCGCCTGCGGCGGGCTCGCCTGCAGCGGGCTCGCGGCGCGTGGGTCGGGTTGCTTCAGAGCCTCGCAGACTGCCGCCGACCCCGCTGCGCTCTCACTCTTGCCCGCAGTTGCGGGAGTACGCAGACGGTCAGGGCGTTGGTTAGATAATGTGCCCAGGAGGCTTCAGACCCTGGAGGTTGCCTTCTTTCTCAGGGCGGTGGTGATCTCCAGTGCCATGCCTCCATTGGTGCTCCACCCGCTTTCAGACCCAGGATTCCTCATCCTCATCCAAGGCCCGCATCGTGTGTACGATTCCGCACCATTCCCACGGAAGTGCCCCCGAATGAGCATCTCACCGTGCGCCCATTGTTGTGTCGTTGCCCTGTCCTGCGGTCCAGGTCGTCATCGAGGGAGTCGGGGGGAGTCCCCGAGGAGAGGGAGACGGAGAGGGAAGAGGAGGAGGAGGAAGAAGAGGAGGAGGACGAGGCGGATGAGGCGAAGGAGAGAGGTGGAGGTGGGGGAACCGGAAGAGAAGCAGCAGGCGTACAATCACCCTGCTTGCCTCCAGAGGGCTCTGGGTTTCTTGGCTCTCGATGGTTTTGATCTGGAAAGCGTGACGCTCCCGCACCACACATTAATGGACGTCCTGGGGTCTCTGGGTTGAGTTCCTTGTGAAGGTTTTCTTGTGGTCGAGCTCCTACTGAAAACTTGTCACTCCTCCTGCCCTCAACGCCAGAGCCCCAGGAGGTGGAGGAGCGCTGCTCGCTGCCGCTCGCCCGCGCCGGGCCCTCCGCGGCATCCCCGCCGCGCTGCGCCGCCCACGCGCCTCGCAGGCAGGAGCTCGGGTGCACCAAGCAGGAGCTCGTCGCCTACGCCCGGCACCCTCTGGGGGGGGGGGGAAGCCAATTTCCTCTGCAGCAGACTCTTGGCCCGCCCCCCCCCCCCAGGCCAAGGTCCCTCGCGCAAGACGGTGGATTCGCGCGCACGATCCCCTGGAGAAAACGCGGGGGGGAGGGCTCCTAGGGGAGATCGACTGAGCAGTACGGTCAGCCCGTATAACAAGGACGCGCAATAAGGATGCAAGGAAACGCCAGCACCTTCCCGGGGCGATAGAGGGGTGTGCAGCGAGGGCTTCAGGGCTCCAAAAGGAGCCGTAAAGTGCCCCGAAGGGGGCCTTTAGGGCCCCAGGACCCGAAAAGTGCACCTTTCTCCTCCACCCCCCAGTTATCGCCCCCCATTAATTCCGCCCGTTCCGTTCGAATAAAAAGAAGAAGAAGAAGAAGAAGAAGAAGATGAAGCGGCATAAGCAGACAGAAGCTTTCGGCACTTCGCGCGGATTTCTTCTATCGGCGCGGGACCCCCTCGGCGGCGCCGATCGGGGCTAGCCACGCGGCGCTGTGCAGCACGATTACGCGTATCAGTATACGGGCGTTATTATCACGATTTGAACGGCAGCACGACGGCGACATGGAGCATACCAACATGATCGGGACTATGACCTCGGTGTGGGAGTCTTGAGCCGTGTGGGTGGGACGGGGACGGAGGGGTCGCGGCCAGGGGGGGGTGGCCCGCCCACCCACCTCCCCACCACAGGGGATGGGGCGGTCGAACACCAGGCGTGGGCACCACAGGCCTATCGCAACCAACGGAGGCACACCATAGGTCCTCAACCCTAGACTCCCCGAACGCGTTCCCCTACTCGCAAAGTGCCTGCTCGCAAACGTCCGAACACACTCGCGTCTGCCACGATGTAATCTGTCGCAGATCCCCCGCGGCTGACCCGGGTCATTTGCGGGTAGTTACTTTGCGAGTAGTGGAACGCGCTCGTCCATACAGTGCCGTTTTTAATACATGCTCCGCGTGCGGATCATGTATTAAAAATGCAGGGATTCATTATTAAAAGCAATGGTGAGTTCATGCATAAATTTATTCATACATTAGTCCTGTATTAAAAACCGATATATTAAAACATCCTATGTATGAACACCTGCCCTGTAGACGCTTCCATTCAGCATTGCTTGAACTTTTCGGTCTAAGATTTCAGCCTCTCCGCCGGAAACCCGGGTGGACCTCCGAGAGTTCGTGCTTGTGCGCAGGGGGTCCTCTGCCCACAGCCGTCTCGGGGGCCCCTGGCGGCGGTGGCAGCGTGGCGTTGCCGCCGCCGCTGCCCGTCCGGGGGAGACTCGCTGCCATGTCTGGATCTCGGGCCGAACGAAAGGGGGGGATTGGGGGAAGGGGGGGGTACGAAATTTGCTGCATGCAGCTGGTTTCGGCCCCACCGAGGGGCCCATTTCTCGATGCATAGCCGCCTCCCGCGCCGGGAGGCGCTGGGAAAATCAGCTACGTGAGCTGATTCTCACCCCCCCCCTTTGCTAACCCCCCCTTTCGCCCGGCCCGAGGATCTTCCTCGGCCTTGTGGTCAGAACGCAGCCGAGAGACGTCCTGGCACTGGCGGCGTCGGCATTCGAGTGCCACCTAAGATGGACACCTGCTCGTGCCGATCTTGCTCCCCGTCTTCACCGCTTCCTCCGCGTCCGCTCCCCCCTTCTCCCCTTCTCTCCTCATCTCTCTTCATCCCTCATCCCATCGTCCTCCTGTTTTCCATAAGCCCAGCTGCAGCGTGTTCAAGCGACGAAGAGTTGACCGGAGGTGGGGGAGGACAAGCAAGCAGCAGGACGAGATGTTCGGATGGTTTTTGTCCACGTGTCTGTACCGCTTGGGGATCCTGGCAGCCTCCAGAGGCCTCTCACCTTCGGGGATCTCTGTTGTCTGCGATGTTATGGCGACCTCCGCAGGCGCTGGAGTACATTCTTCGGGAAGGATGGAATGTAGGGGGTAGGAGTGCGCCCCCGAACGGTCTGACTGCAGCTGCCAGCACCCACGAGACATCTCCTCCGGGCCCGGAGGCTCTGAAGGATCTCCGAGTCCCTGCACATGTTTCATTCAAGTGTCAGGAGGGAAAGAAACACACAGACACAATAAATCGTCGATCCCCAGGAAAATATGCGAAAACATGGGAAGTGGGGGGGGGAAGGCAAAAACCCAGAAAATATAGGAAAATATAGGGAATAATTTGATTTATGTGCATTTGTTTGTGTGTTCTGGGGCTCCTTTAAAGTGGCTTGCGCCATTCCGCCGACCCCAGCGGAGTGGAGAAGTCCAGGGCGTTTTTGGTAAATAGGCTGCGTCGGAGCTGGGGTGGCTGTTGTTTCTTTTTTGCTGGAGAGCAGGAGGAGGAGGGGAGGAGCGGAGGTGGGACGGCGGAGGGCGGAGGGAGGCTAGCTTCATTTCTCCTCCATCCTGCCTTCGTCTTGGGACTGGGGATCGGACCCACGACGACTGTCGGAGGCTCGGGCGCCTGAGAGCCTCGGACCAGGGAAGGGGGCCTAGACCACCTTCGGTCGGAGCGGCGACGGCGGGGGTGGCAACGACACCGGCGGCGGGGGCGACGACCCTGGGGAGGCCTCCGGGCTTTTTGCTCGGCAGTGGGGGGATGCTTCTTGGGGGCCTTGGGACCGTCGGAAGGCGACTCGGGAGGAGAAGCCGGGCCCGGGGAAGGGGTCGAGACCTTGTGGCGTCGACGTTCCGGGCCTCCACGCCACCGCTCCTGCCAAGCCAAGCCCTGGGCCCAGGGTCGGTGCCCCTGCTAAAACAGGGCTAGGACTGGGATAAATCGCTCCAGAGCGTTCCCGAGCGCTCTCAGAGCGTTCCGGAACGCTCTGGAGCGGCCGCGGCGCCCAATACATCCTCCAAACCCGCCGATTATCAGAGATTTCGAGTTATCCCGATCCGATTTTGCCCCGATCTTCGCGTCGTTTTACCTGCGCCCTCCTGCCCTTTTGCAGGGGAGGCGCACGCACCCATTCTGGAACCAGGGGGGGCCCGGCCAGGGCGGCGGAGGCGGGGAGCAGGCGTCCGTCGGAGCGGCGGCGGCGAGGGCGCTAATATCGGAGGTTGATGGACCTCCTACCCTGACACGTCGATTAAGGAGTTGGCCGTTGTCGGTTCGCGGGAGGGCGTCGCGGCCGTCATCTTTCCGGGTCCGGGTCCGTCGGCTTCGGTCCCAGGCCGTTTTCTCACGAAGGGGAGGTTTGCTGAAGGGAGGTTTGCCCACCGCCGAGCTAACGGTGGCCCCCTGCGCCAGGTACTTGGGCATGGACCCCGTCGTGGACGGCGATCTCCTGTGGATCGCCGAGCAGGCGCCGGGGGTCGGCGGCCCGAGCGGGCCGGCGGGGCCCGCGCAGGCTTCGGTTGGCGTCGCGGCCGTGCGCGCAGCGCCGAAGCGGAGTCGGGCGACGGTCAGATCGAGGATGAGCCGAGACTCACCACCCGCCAAACCACCCCAACCCAACCCGAAGGCCTCAAATGGACCTCCATTTCCAGTGGGGGGGGGGGGTCGGGGAACATCGAGGAAGCACATATGGAACCCGTACCCCCCCCCAACCCGAAATTCGGGTCTTCGGGTTGGGTTGGGGTGGTCTGCTAGGTAGTCAGAGACAGCGGCAGTTGGCCTTCGGGGGCCCCTACGTCGAGCGGCTCGGGCCGCTCACCCACTTCTCGGGCTGGACGAGAGGGGGGGGATTGGGAAAGGGGGGGCTACGAAACTTGCTGCATGCAGCTGGATTCGGCCCCACCGAGGGGCCCATTCCTCGGTACATGGCCGCCTCCGGCGCCGGGAGGCGCCGGGAAACTCAGCTACGTGAGCTGATTCTCAATCCCCCCCCTTGCTATCCCCCCCTTTCGCCCGACCCGAACCCCCACTTGGCAGAGCCCCTCAATGTGGGCGCGGTTGTCTCGGATGTGCCGAGCACTTCCGAGCCAGCAGCTCCTCGCACCCTCGAGAGCCCCAGGCGTGCAGGAGCTGCTGCACGATCTCGGTCCATCGGACATGTGAAGCATGCAAAAGCGAGTACAACAAGCAAACCTTGCCATATGTACACACGCGGATGCCGACGTGCCCAGACTTTCAGTTGGCCCAAAGGCTATGATGCTTCCATGCCCCTTGGACCCGCAGGTGATTGGGATCCTCCCGAACTTATCGACCTCGGCGGGGGACCGTCGTCCTCGCCTGCCGGACGATCAGGAGCTCATCTTAGACCACCACGACCTCGTGTGACTGGTGACCCTACGGCGGAAGTGGACAGTGCGACTGCGTCACGGGCTGATCGTGGTCACACGATTGGTCCTGCCTCAGACGTGCTTCCCTCGCCTGAACCAGTCTACCAGCGCGGCAGATTCCTCGTCGCGGACCAGCGTTGTGAAATCTTAATCCAGAAGTACGAAGCTTTCCGGACTCATGTTTTTGGCGTCGTTTGTTTTATTTTGGGTTTTTGTTCCTTTGTCTTAGTCGGATGACTGGTTCATTGCTTTGTGCATCGCGTGCCATGGAGTGCTACCATGCCAGCGCGCATCCGCTCTTCATGCATAGCATAATGCTTGTAGAAATGATGTTGTTGCTTGCCCATGGCGGGAGCCGTTTGCGGGCGAGCCTCTAAGTGCATGTTGTGGTGTCGACATGACTTGGCATGCCGCTATTGGCTCCTCGACTTCAATGAAGATGCATCTTGTGCTCGCGATGTGTAGCTTCCTGTTCGTGCTATTTCTATGTCTTTGCATGGGAGGCCGCTTGATTCTGAAACAGGCAAACGCAGTGTAGGGTAGGTTTTCGTCGCGACCCGTGATTCGTATTTGCCTAGCTGGTCTCGCGCGCCAGCGCAGAAGCAATTTGCCAGGTTCATTTGAGAGCTACGACGCTACTGCTAATTATCCTGCGGGATGTCCTGCTTCATTTCTTCCATACATGTTTTGTTTATTTATTATGATTAGTTGCCTGCGTAGTTTGCCTGCTGAGTTTCTTGTTTAAGTTTCCTTAGTTAGTTCCTGCTTAACGTTCCTGCGTCAGTTTCCTGCTTAATTCGTCTGCTTAATTCCCTGTTGAGCGTTCCTGCTAAAGTTCTTGCTTAAGCGTTTCCCGCTGAAGTTCCTCCTTACCGTTCCTGCTGAGTTTCCTTGTTGAAGATTGCCGCTCTAATTCCCTTGCTGAACTTTTGTGTTCCATTTCTTGTCCAATCTTCGTGCTGAATGTCCTGCTTCAGTTTCGTGTTTGCTTTCCTGTTGAATTGTCGTGCTTAAGTTCCTGGCGAAATTTTCCTGGACAGTATTGCCCAGTAAATTAGTTGTATGACTGAGTGGGCGCCGTTAATGGTGGCGGCAATCTATGCCATTGGCGACGTCGCCAATCCAGGCCGCTATTTGTTTCGCAAATTGGGGTGTACCCCGCGTATACCGAATGCAACGGGAAATCAGCGGCGTTACTTAGCAGGTACTGTTGGGGAACTCCTGGAGGAATTGGAGAGGCCTTGCGGCCGGTGCCCCCGACCCTGAACGACGACGACGACGATGCTGACGCGGGTCAGAGTCCTCAGGGATGTTTCTTGGGGTCTCTCGGAGCGCTCTCGGGTGCCTCTGGAGGCTAATCTTGGGGCCTCTTGGGAGCTCCTTGGGGGCCTGTTGGGAGGCTCCTGGGGGCTTCTTGGGGCTTCCCGGGTGCATCTTGGGGGGTTCTTGAGTTTTTTTTGTGGAAGTCTTGGCCCTTTTAAGGCGTCTCAGGCCGAGGGGTCGAAATGTCCGTTCGGGTCCTCCGTCTGGGCACTCAGTTGGAGCCGGTTTGGGGGGCTGCTGGGCCGTCTTGGAGGCCTCTCGGGCCGTCTTGGGGCCCTCTTGGGTCGTCTTGGGGCCCTCTCGGAGGCCTCTTGGGGTATGTTGGGGCGATTTGGGGGGCTTCGTTTGGCCGACTTGGACTGTCGGGAAGCCGAGAAGGCGAGAATTCCAAAATATATCAAACACAGTTTTTTGCTTTTGGGCTCTGCTGGGGGTGCTCTTGAAGGCCTCTTGGGGCGTCTTGGAAACCTCTCGGGCCGTCTGGACTGTACTTTGGCGTCTTGGACCGATACTTTGGCGATTCGGTGCCCTCTTGGACCGTCTTGACGGCCTATTGGGGCAGTTTTGGTTCGGCCTGCGGGGGGGTGAGCTTTGGGACCTCTGGGGGGGGGGAGGGCATTCTGACCCGGGCCCCCCTTGGTCTTCCCCGGGCCCACCCCCCCGGACTCCCCCAGGACCCCCCCAGGACCCCCCCCCCACCCACGGCAGGGACGGGATCAAGGGAAGGGGCTTCCCTTCGAATTGATGACGACTTTCGTTATTGCCGTTTTGGCCAGCACGTTTGAAGAGAAAAGGCCCAGGGTAAGAGATGCAACGGCTGACGCGTTGGAGAAGGAGACCCAGGAGACAGCTTGCAGTGGCGACGTTGACGACGACGACGACCACGACGAGGAGGAGACAATGCATGAAACAGTGACGAACGAAAGAGCTTTATCCACACGCCGACAGGTTCGGCGGATACTTATGTGGTGTTAATGTATGGTTTAATTAAGGTCTAAACTACTAGTGCCGGCGTGCGTCCACCAAATTAACCGTACAGTTACCGTCACACATACATGTTCAACATGGCACCACCTTGAGTTTCCTCCTGATGTTTTTGCTTGATGTTAGTGATTTGTTTTGATATTTAATCGTAGTATGATTCCATCCGGCTCTTTCTTGATTTTATGTTTCGTTGTCCGTTCGCCCTTTCATGTGCTGATATGGCTAAAGTCGGACGTTGTTGAATTTAATTTTTATGCTGCATGTTCAGGCTTACTTTCCCTGTTAATTTTCCTGCTTGACGTGTCTGCAGCATGTCCTGTTTAAGTTTCGTGTTCGATGTCTTGTTTGTAATTGGCATCTTTTTTATTTCCCGCGAATCTCCTAGTTCATGTTCCTGCTTAGCATTCCTGCTTAATTTCCTGATGAATGTCCTGTTTGTTTGTCCTGCTTCGTTTCCCGTTTCGATGACTGCTGATTTATCTTGCCTAATGTTCTGCTCAAGTTTCCAATCGATCCCCTGCTTTCTCATGTTCAAATGTTTGATTGTTTTATCATGCTTACGTTTCTGTTCGATTGTTTGGTAGGCTTGTGTGTGCGCGCAGCCCTTTATCAGATCAGAATGTATGTCATGCTATTCCTTGTACTTCTGATCATGTTCGCAGCGCACATGCATCATACCCAGCCTCCACAGCCAGATATAATGCTGAATTGCCCCCCCTCGCACCGGCAGGGGGCCATGTCGGCAGGAGGCAAACGTTTGGTTGTCGACATATCCGTGGGCTGCCTCTACGGACACAAAGACGTACGGAAAACATTTGTTTTGTAAAAGTGCCATAACGTTGGCCCGCCACGACACTTTGAGTATCCATCGCCTCCCGTGGCGTCCCCTATTCTTCGAGCCGCGGCAACGGCTCAAGTGCCCAGCCTGACTGGTCCCGAGTCAATGTCCAGTCCAGCCTCAAAGCGCCCCCCGAGTGCCGGCCTTGCTGTGACCAACGAGGAGCTCTGCGAAGCGAACTTCACATTTGATTCTTGCACGCGAAACGGACCCCAGATACGGCAGATCCTACAACGAATGGGAGCGTACGGAGTTCGAGTGAAGATGACAAAGCCTATCGTTGACACATGCCGAGCAAGTTGGACATGACAGCACCACCTCTATTTCACCATCGTTGAGCTTACCTGGCTGGTTTGACGAGGAGGTGGATCGCGATGTTTGTCCACAACGAGCACGTCGCCTTCCACAGCATCGGCCGATGCATCATAATGTCGCAGGAGGCCTCGACCACGATTTTGTCCAAGGCCAGTTGGGAGCATTCGGAGGCGAACTCTGAAGTCGAGCTTCTGGGCCTCAGCCAGGCCCCAAGCGGTTTCCTCGGAGAGAACACGCTCGCCCCATATAAAGATTTCAACAGGCATGGCAGACGCGATGCTTCTCGCAGACTACTGGCCGAAGCAATGTTCGCAGCGACGCATCCTGATTTTGCGACCGACCTTCCTTGCGCAATGCTGCGCCAGCGGACGACCGCCCATGTCTTTTGACCCTGAAGACCCAGATTTCGATTAACCAGGGACCGTAGGGCAGGAACGTGAACGCCGCGTCCGTGATATGGCCATGGAAGTTTGTATTCAGACCACTGTAACAGCCATAGTTCACAGGGTTCTCAAGGCGAAGACTAATGTGGGCGGTGGCAGACTCACGCGGGCAGACGACTGGGTGGACTACCGCCAGACAGCCGCCACCAAGGTTGCAGCGGCGGGTGGGGCGAGGACAGGTCGGTGCCAAATTTGTGACCAGAGGCACAGGCATTGTCGTTCAACTCCCGATGCCAGGCTGAGTCGATGCTTCGAGGTGCTCATGGTCAAGCAATCTGGTATGGACAGCATACCCACTAGACACATGGTGCCAAACAGTGCGGTCCATCCTTCAGGAAGGGGCCCCGTCGCCCTGGTCGTCGTCCCCAGCGAAAAGAAGTTATGCGGAACTTGTTGGGGCCGCGAACTTGCTCCCACTGTTCGCGTGGCGCTGCAGTGCGTCGCTGGGGCCCGCTTCTTGCTCGACGTCGCCATCGCCGCGAGGCTCGCCAGCAGCCTATACTCCGCACCGACCTACGAGTGGGCTGGCCGAAGTACTTGCATCTGGTGCGGCAAATTCATGCAGCCCGGCCCCCACCTCTACGAGCCCACCAACGCCCTTATCGACGTTTGGGACATTGCTGGTCGCAGCCTTGCACGCCGTCTAAAGCGCCCGATTGACGCTCGAGCCGCCTGGTCGCTCGACGCGCGTCTCTCCCGGCTTCCAGTCCTTTCTGATGGGCCTCAGGATGGCGATAGCCGCGGGATCACGAACGCCCTCGCGGCCCCAATGGGGCCCGAACGAGGAGACGGGCGTCTCATCGACAATCGGAGAGGGCAATTGCGAACAAGAGGAGGAAGCCATGGCCATGCACGATTGGCACCCAGAACTCACGGATACTGGACGCCGATGCGAGGAGCCACGCGCTCTTGCCGAGCAGTCCCATGTCTGCCGTGGCCCTTACCCCCGAGTTGCCCGCGCAGTATCCCGCGAGCATGGGGGGGCGCCATTTTCGAGCAGGGGCTCATGGGCATACAGCGCGCGAGCGCGAACAAAGTGGCATCCTGTTGCTGCGCCCCAAAACTTGGGCGCCCTGCGACGGGATCGGAAGCGCCGGGCAAAGGCAGCGCCGATTGCCGCCCATGACCTCGACTCCGGCCGGCGCTGAAGGTATGCCGGCTCTGGTTCATTGGTGGCGTTGCGCGCGTCATAGCGGGCTCAATTATGTTGGGAGCTTTCCCTCCCCGTCGAGTCTGCGACAATTCGCCCCGCGCGCCACCGCCGCAGTCCGACGGGCGGCAGCGGCCAGAGAGGGCGATCTGGTCTCCGAGCAGGTCATCACCAACAAGCTAGGACAGACTAAGACATCGCCAACTAAACTGGGCGCAGGGTTCGGTTGGACAACCGACGCTTCGCCAGGGAGAGGCAGGTCCGCCCCAGAACGCCGCGACCTCAGCGGCAGCTTCGGCCACTACTCCGCGCGCGACGCCTTTGCCTCTGCGCCATGGCGACGCGCCGGCGCACCTGCAAGCAAGCGGCGGAACGGGCGCCGCGCCTGCCCCAAGTGCGAAGACACGCAGTACAGTGCGGAGTCGCGTGCGATTCGCCGAGTTTTTCTTGGGGCTGTCTTGACGAACTTCCATGTGCGCGGCTGTCCTCCTTGCCCCGCCTGGCTTCGAGTGCTGCGCCCAGTCGCGGCGCTGCCTGAAATGTCTCAAGCCCGACGCTGGTGCCAAGGGCGCCCCTCGAGACCATCAGAGCCTTCGTTTCCAGTCTACGCCCCGCGACGGGGAGTTCGCGGCCGCCGTCGGCCTGCTCGCGGCCAAGCACGTAGACGACGTCAAGACTAACGGCATGGAGCCCCAAAGATTGCTGCGTCAAACAAGTCGAGCACGTATTCGGCATTCTCGATTGGAACAAGCATACTTGCGCGAATTGCGCGGCGAGGTGCGGCAGGACGGAAAAAGGGGGGCGCGATCGCGGACCGCGACGAGCACCTCGAACAAATTGTGCTCATTGCGAACCCCGGCACTGTAGGTGCCTTCCCAGAAGCACAAGCGAATCATGTCGCGGGGCTCATGTTTTCCAGCCCGCGGGGGGGCCCTTGCGCATTTCGCCCGCGCGCGAATCTGGGATGCATCATATGATGCACCTTTGCAGAGTACCCGGCAGCCGACGAGCACGCCGGCGGGAGCCGCAAATTGTTGCCAGAACCCGAGAAGATCATCCACCGAGCCGTGGCCCCTCGATGGCACCGTGGACCAGCGCCGCGCTTCCCGGCGTCGGAAGCTCACCGGGAAGAGGACGACGAGATCTACGGCTACAGCCTTCGTGGATGGATGCGCTGCGCCGCGGGAACACGAGTAGTCGAAGGGGTCGCGCACTGCGTCGGCAGCCTCTGATGGCAATCTCATCGTCTGCATGTCAGATCCAGCTACGCGGCCCAAGCCCATGCCGCATTGCTCAGTCTGGATGAACATCGCCCCATTCTGGAAACGCTTTGCCAGCTCTTCACGGGCTCCTGAAGCCCTTCGAGATCAGATGCGCCCCTGACTTCGGCGAGCTCAGCATTCAGGCACCCAGTGCGATTGACGCTGGATCAGCATGCAAGTCTGTGTCGAGCAACGATTTGTTCGCGCCTGCGTGGACGGGATGTTTTGACAAATCAGTTGGAAGGTGAGCGTTTCGACTTTGGCATCGGCAGCAAAGCGCAGTGCTGCGACGCCCGCGGCATGGCGGGGGATGGCCGCGCCGCGGGCATTCTCGACCGCAGCCTGTTTCTGCAAGTCACGGTCAGCAGCCAGAGTAAAATCGTACGCATCGTATCAGGGCAACAAATCTCCCATCGCCGACCGATGACTGCTGCTGTCCCTGCGCCGCAATAGACCCTGGAGGTCTGGTGGACCATGCCGCTGCCGCCGTCATGCGCACCCAGATCGGGGGCCCTCTGGTTGGCGCCACGAAGAGCTTCTCGCGGACCGCGACTGCTCCCAACGCGAGCATGCCCCCGTGCTCGTTTCGCACTCTGTTGTCGCGGAGTCGCGACCAGACTCCTTGCGTCTTTTCGTCGCGGATGTGCGACCTCACCCAATGTGTTTTGCTCCGGTATGGGATCGGCTCTCGTGGGTCCGTCCTTGGGCTTTCAGGACCGACCTCCTGGCCTGTCCCGCCCAAGCTGCATCGTGCAGCTTGTTTCTGCTCGGGACACTCTTGTGCCGAGCAGCTGGTCTCATTGAGACATGCCCCAGCCTCGCGCACCCTTGCTGTTAATGCGCGGTGCCGGTGGTCGAAATTCTGGACGCCATGCTCCTGATTGATTGTAGCGCTGCCTTGAACTGGCGGCGACGTCCGAGCTTCGTTCCACCCCCTTCGCCTGTGACGGCATGCCCCGACGCCCCGAGGGCATCTTAGAAGCGCGATCGGCCGCCACCGCTATGGGTCAAGACGACGGCGCGTCTTTTTCACGAGTGGCTTGCATCGCTAGCTACTCAACTTCTGCTGCGTTTAGGTCGGAGAAGAGGCCGCTCCGTCATCCCATCGTTTTTCCGTTGTATCTCCCATTTCGTATAATTGTTCCCGGCATGGGGTGGCATCTTCCTTTGGAATTCTTTTCAGAAATTCGTGTGGATTGCACGTTTCGGCCCCCGAAAAAGGACCGAACTTCTCCAATGTTGATGGCTTGGGGCTTGTCAGGACAGTGTTTCGCGGCACGTTGGTGGATCATGGGCAACAGCTCAGTCATTCATGCTTTCAGGCTTGGGCCTCTTGCTCCCGGAGGCCTGCTTCGGGCCTGGCGAGGAACCGATCCCGCCTGTCAAGTTCACCAGGATGCACCCTTTGTCGGGGTCCAGCGAGGCGGATGTTGAGCAGATTTTGTTGGTCGGGTCCTCGCCCTCCCATTCGCATCCTCCCGCCCCCTCGTGCGGGCAGTACTTATATCCATATCCAGAGCGTCGTGGACATTTTTTGGAAGATGTGCCGCAACGCCGGGGCGCACTGGATATGGATAAAATCAAGCCTCTTGGGGCCAGATTTTTATCCATACCAGTGCGCCTACGGCTTCTGGGGAAGAGAGCCCAAGAATCCAAGACGCACTGGATGTGGATATAACTATTGCCCACACTTGTTGGGGTCCAGCGGGGTTGATGTTGAGCAGATTTTGTTGCTCGGGCCCTCGCCCTCCCATTCGCATCCTCCCGCCCCCTTTGTCTTGTCCCTCGCTCCTCCCCCCTCCCCGCCCCCTCCCTCCGGCCGGGCCGCCCGCGACGCCGCGAGGCACTCGAGGCGCCCCTGCCCTCGGAGTGGACGGAGCACCACGACAGCGCCGACCGCGTCTTCTACTACAACGTGCAGACGCACGCCAGCTCCTGGACCGCGCGCTTCCTCAGGGCTCGCTTCGATTCCTCCGATTCGATTCGATTCGATTTCGATGGATTCCGATTCCGACTCGATTCGACTTGGGATTCCGATCTGGGTTCAGATTTTTCATTGGAGGCCTACTAGCCTGCCGATTTCCGCCGATTCGACGTTTTCCCGACTCAGCTGCCGATTTCCGACGATCCGATTCATGTCGATCGCCGATCCGACTTGTCGATCCGATCCTGGGCTCTCCCCCCCCCGCCCCTCGCCCGTCCGCTGCTTAGCATCGCTCGGACGTGTGTCGTCCGAGCGACGGCAGGGTTGGGTTGCCGTTCGGAAAGGGGGGGGGGGGGCTTCCTGACACTGGTGCTCGCCCCGGGGAGCCCCCCCGCCGCCGCCACGGCGGGAGCCCCCTCGACACGTGGAGCGGCGGCGTCCCAAAGATGCAAAAGAGGGGGGTGCGCGAAGGATGGGCATCCCACGAAAGGGACAAAGAGGAGGAGAGAACGGGAGAGAACAGGCGAGACAGAGAGCAAGAAGGCTGTGCACGCCAGGAGTGCTCTCGCAATATGGCGATGCAGCTCACTGTAGTTCACGGCAGGCGACTCCGCTTTCCGCCAGGCGGCGCAGTGGCCCTGCGTGGTTACGGGATGCCCTCGGACGAACAAAGGGGACAGTACGGAAACATATCATTCTGCGAATGGAGAGGGGCAGGTGTGCTCGTTGTTGTCGCGGCCGTGGGCCCATTTCTTCGCAGTGTTGATCTTATGATGCCAAGACGGATTGGATCGAACGAGCGAGCTCCTGGGCTAGGGGCGAGCCAGGAAACAGGTGTGTTGGGGGGGGCGGCTGGCCCTGTCAGGCCCGGTCGGGCTCCCGGTTTCTGCCAGCCATGGCTGGCACGCATATCTCCAGCAGCAGTGATCTCACGGAGGTTTGGGCCACATGTGTGCCTCCTGGAGGTCGGGAGCCCTGATTTATGGAACCCCCTCCTTTCATCGATCTCCCTTCAGATGGCCCCCACCAAGATGGCTCCCGAGGCTCCCGAGGGTGTCCCGATACGGCCCCAAGAGGCGCCCAGGAAGCCGCAAGAGGCCCCCATGCCTCGGGTCCGCGCCAGACCATGCACGTGCTTCCGCTGCTGGAAACTTGTTTGTCGAGCTGTTTCCCATGGATGGTCATGTTTGCCAGCTCCCCCGTGTAATGTCGATGCCCTTGCCAGAGAGGTTGAACGGCTAGGCGAAACTAGTGAAGGTCCAGACTGGGACGACTGGACCGGCACGGGCCGCAGTGGTCGGTTGGCTGCCTTTTTCACGGTTGGCCCCCAGAGTTCTTTTGCGCTCCTCTCGGTGGGCAGCGGGTCGGCAGGTGTATTGCAGCAGCAGGCGAGCTCCCACGGGCCCGATCCCGATCCTCCTCCTCCTCATCTTTCGAGTATCGAGGGCCGATGTTGTCCCATGCGCTTTATGACTATGCTTAAGTCGGGCATGTCATGTCCCTCTACAGGGGCCGTTTTTTCTTTGAATTGGTTAACCATTCTGAACATTTTGCATTTGTTTCAAAAGTTGCGTCCAAAAGCTGCCTGTATGAGGACATGCCCGACCTAAGACTGTCCCCATCTCGTGTATTCAAAGACGTTGTCTCCAGAGGCTTCGGGAGGCCTCTGGGGACCCCCGCTGGCCTCCGGGGATCTCTCTCCGAGGATCCCCCCCCGCCTCCTGCCGAGACCCTCGTCGTCCTCCCTGTCCTCCTCGTCCTCCTCCTCGCCATCGTGTTTTCTTTACCGCCAGGTTTCCTCCTTGCTCCCGCTTCCTCGTCGTCCTCTCTTCGTCGTCTTACTCTGGGGGTGGAGGTAGGAGGAGGAGGAGCAGGAGGAGGAGGAGGAGGAAGAGGTAGTAAATAATATGGATGATGAGGACGAGCACGACCACGATGGGGGGGACAAAGAGGGATCACTCTTGTTCTCGTCATCGCCACCCTTCTCCGTTTCTCTTTTTCCCCATCCTTCCTCGTCCTCCGTGTCGTCCCCTTCCTCCTCTTCCTCCTTCCCCCCGTGTGGTCTCAGAAGGTTCCCTGGAGGCCTCTGGAGGGCAGCTACAAATACGTAGCCAAGACGCACGAAGCCTCGATGCGTCTCCCCCTGGAGCGCGATTTCGACCAAACTCTGGCCAGTTTACTCCGCCGTTTTTGTAATGCAGAGCCGAAGCAGCGTGCAGGTGAGCTTTGACTTGCAGCAGGCCCAGATGTCGTCCAGAGCCTCGCCAGACCACTCGCCCCCGCCCCATCCGCGCAGGCGAGCCTGCCGGTAGCACCACCGGCAGCCCCCTCCTCCTCGCCGCCCCCCCCCCCGCGTGTGCATGGGCAGGACTCAGGAGGGGACAAAAACACACGGACACAGTTAATCGTCGATCCCCCAGAAAATGTAGGAAAATGGGATGTGGGGGGGAAGACAAAAGCCCAGAAAATATTGGAAATGTGGGAATCCTTTTACTTGTGTGTATTTGTTTGTGCGTCCGGGGGGTCCGTCAAGGACGCACCCGCTGGAGCAGCTGCACAGAGACACGTACAAGCAGATCATCAGCTTCAGAAGTGGGGACATGCCGGCCGAGGAGCCCCACCCGCCGTTCTGAAGCTTGTGCGGATGCCCTTCTTTCTTCTTCGACAGACGGACGGGGGGGAGGAGGAGGAGGAGGAGGAGGAGGAGGAGGCGGAGAAGGAGGAGGAGGAGGAGGAAGAGGAGGAGGAGGGGCTGGCGGCGAGGGCGGGCAGCGTCGGGGCAGGGCCCTCGGCGGTGCGCCCGGGGGGGGTGGGGGGGGGCGTCAGCGGGGGCAGGCCTCCGCAGGAGGCGGCGGGGCTTCTCGGAAGCCCGCCAGCCCTCAGTGGGCCCCAGAGCAGGGCTCGCTTCGATTCCTCCGATTCGATTCGATTCGGTTTCGGTGGATTCCGATTCCGACTCGATTCGACTTGGGATTCCGATCTGGGTTCCGATTTTTCATTGGAGGCCCACTAGCCTGCCGATTTCCGCCGATTCGACGTTTTCCGACTCGGCTGCCGATTTCCGCCGATCCGATCCATTTCGATCGCCGATCCGACTTGTCCATTCGATATTGGGCTCTCCTGCCTAGAATTAACTCGGGCCTGTCCCTCTACAGGGGGAAGATTCAAAAATCCCCCTGTAGGGGGACAGGCCCGACTTAGCCCTAGAAGCGACGTTGTGTTGCCCTCGGGTGTCTGGCCCAGATTGGCGGGGTGGCCTTCGTCGCACCATGATTTGCCCCTTGATGCAGGGCCAGGAGGGGGGCGCGGGCTTCGTTGCACCGTGGTTTGCCACCCTCGTGTCGCTTCTCCAACCTGCTTTGGCCCGAAGGGCTGGGCCTTTGGGATGGCCTTTCTGGCCTGCACGGGGGGGTTGGCCTTCGTTGCGACATGGTGGGCCCCGCTCCTGAGGCCTGTCGTATCTCCCCATTCCCCGGGATCTCACGACAACCAACGCGAGTCCGAAGTCCCAACATGTCTTGGAAATAACCTACGCGACATCCGAGAAGGACTCAGAGCGTGTGCAGATCAACCGCACTCAGGAGGATAAGGACGAGTACGAGGGAGGAAGAGGAGTGGGGGGAGAGGAGGTCCAGGAGGACGAGAGAAAGGTGTTCAGGAGGAGGAGCAGGAGGATGCCCAGGAGGGTCCCGAGGAGGATGAGGAGGAGGCAGACGAGGAGGATGTGGAGCATAAGCATGGGAAGCAGGAGGAGGGGGAGGACACGGGAGGGCATGTGGTTTGATTTTCCCTTTCTGCCCGCTGAGAATGTCAGTGCCATTGTCGTCGCAACTCTTGCCCAATCCAGGAGAATATCCAGCTGCTTCCAGCAATTCCGCCGACGTGTCAGCGCAGCATTCTGGGTGGTCAAGGGAGCTTGCTGGGGGCCTCGTGGGGCAGAAAGCTAGAATTCTGGGATCATCTTCCCACTCTTGGGGCCCTCTCGGGCACCTCTTGGGCCGTCTTGGAGCTCTCTGGGAGCCTCCTGAGCCGACTCGGGAAAGTCTGGGGGCCTCGCTCAAGGTCCACAAGATGCCCTCAAGACTTCCTGAAGAAGACCCCAATGGGCCCCCTGAAACACCCCAAGACTGCCCAAGAAGTGCGCAATACGGCCCAGGAGGCCCCCACTTGGACCCACGAATCACCCAAATGGATCCCAGCAGGCCCGAATCCAGTTCCAGAGGGCCCCGAGTCTGCCCCGGAGGGCCTCGCACCGCCCAAGACGCTCCTGCAGCCCTCCCAGAGGCCCCCAAGACGTCGCAGGACGGCCCCCCCCCCCCCCAAAAAAAAGACGTCGCAGAACGGGCTCTTGTCAGACCCCGAGGAGGGCTTCAAGGGGCCAGTGCTCAGTGCCCGTCACCATCATGCCATCACCATCTCGCCTCCCCCTCCGAGAAGTAATCCAAATCTTATAATACAAGGGGGGGGGTCAAAAAAGTGTTTGACGGCCGGTCTGGGACCCCCCCAAGTAGACCACCCCCAGACAGGCAACAAAGGGTCCAAAATCGAGACCCCCCCCACAATTGTGTTTGACGAAGCCCGTCAGACCCCCCCCCCAAAAACAGACCCCCCCCCATTGTTGTGAGATCCGGAGATGCAGGGAGGGGCGCAGCCGTCGAGCTCTCGCTGGAGGTGCGCGCGCGCCCGCGGGAGGTGCGCGCGCCCCGGCGCGGGGGATGCTGCCCCCTGCGGCCGCTGCGGGGTGGGCCGAGCTGCGGGCGCTGTGCCGCCTGTCGCTGCCCAGAGTGGCGCAGCTGTGGTTCATCTCGGCGGCGAGCGACGGGGGGGGGAGGCGAGGCGGGGCGGGCCTTCTCTCGGAAGGCTCGGAGGTCTCCACGGCCTCCCGGGAAGCTTTCCAAGCCTGCCCGCGAGAGCCGGGAGGCCTCGCAGGGGGCTCGAGGGTTCCGGAGAAGCTTCGCCACCCTCTGAGAAGGCCTCTCCCTCTCATTGCCCCCTCTCGCTCGACGCCGATTGTCATGCTGTGCGATCGCATTACCCTCGGATTTGTCGGGCACTCCGACGCGACGGAGGCCCAGATCGACGCGGCCGCTTTCGGGAAAGTCTACTCGAGCGTCACCATGCTCAGCACCGGACTCGGCCTGTGCCTCGGCATCAGCACGTTCGCGTCGCAGAACCACGGCAGGGGGGCCTCGGAGGAGAACGGCGTCGTGTTTTTGCAGGGTTGCCGGAGCTGCGCCGTTGCCCTCGTCCTGGGGCTGCTCTTCGCGGGCCTGTCGCCGCCTCTGCTCAGGGCCGCCGGCCAGCCGGAGGAGCTGCTGCCGCTGGTGCAGAAGTTCTGCCTGATCCAGGTGATGGGATTGCCTGGCGCGTTCTTGAAGGAGATCCTCTCGAACACGCTCATCGCCCAGTGCGTGGTGGTGCCCTGCATGTATGTAGACGCCGTGACCTGCGTGGTGAGCACGGCCGTGGCCTACTGGCTCATCACTGGCGGCCTCGGGTACTTGGGATCCGCATGGGCATTCGTCTTCGCCAGCACCCTCAGTAGCTCCCTTCTTCTGGCCTACGTCATCCGCAGCGGGCGGCAGGACACCGTGTGGCGTGTCCCCGTTGAAGTGAGCCGCCCAGGGCGCGTCGACTTCTGTGCATACATGGCCGCCACCCTGCCGAGCGCGTTCTCCCTGTGGTCGGAGTGGTGGGCAGCGGAGGCCCTGTCCCTGCTGGCTGGCGTGCTGCCCCGCTGGGAGGTCTGCGTGGGCGCCCAGGGTATCCTGGTTAACACCCTCCTCGTCTTCGAGATGACGTTCGTCGGGGTGCAGACCGCCGCGACCACCCGGATAGGCAACCTCGTGGGCATGAGGGATGCGGACCGCATCCCGGTCTCCATCGTGGCTGGCGTATTGCTCGCCGCGACGCTTTCTTGCGCAATCTCCTGCGTGCTGCAGGCGTGCGGAGCATCAATCATATGGTTGTGGGCGCCTGACCAGCTTGACATAATATCGGAAGCGGAGGGAGCCAAGTTGGGGCCAGTGGCATCTTTGCCGCCCTACGCGATCATGATGTGTTTGCAAGGGGTGTTACGGGGCGCGGGGCTGCAGTCTCGCGGTGCGGCCGTCGTGTTCGTGTCGTTCTACGTTGTGGGGTTGCCTTTTGGCGCGATTCTGGCGCTGAGAGGCGGCTTGAGTTTGATGGGGTTGTGGTGGGGGAACGTCGTGGGCCTGACGCTTTCCGCCTGCGGCATGTGCGCCATGTGCCTCTTCGTACGATGGCACCGCGTCGTCGCCGCCGCGCAGTGCGAGGGGGTGTGCGCGCCGCTGCAGAACCGGCCGCCAGACGAGCCAGCGCCTCCGAGGCTAGAGCCAGGGTCGTGCACTTAGAAGTTCTTCTGTCTGGAATGAGGAACTGGGAGGGTTCTCGGTCTGGCGGCTATATTGTCGCCGTCGCCGCTCCGTCGCCACCTTGTCGCCGCTCGTCGTCTAGGCCTGGTTGTCGATCAGGCGGCTGCTATGGTGTTGCCGTCGCCGCCTCGTCGGCACCCGTCGACTTGGGTGGGGTATGCCGGTCTAGCGTCTACCTTGTCGCCGTCGCCGCCTCGTCGCCGCTCGTCGTTTGGGCTTGTTTGCTGGTCTGGCGACTATGTTGTCGCCGTCTCCGCCCTGTCGCCGTCACATCGCGGCGTTGTGTTGCTTTGCATGGCTTCGCATGGCTCTGCATTGCTCTGCATGTTTTCGCATTGCTTTGTGTTGGTTATTGGTTTGCATTGGTTTGCGTGGCATCGCATTGCGGCGACATGGTTCCGCATTGCTCCGCCCTGCGTTGCCTTGCTTTGAACTGCCTTGCATTGCTATGCTTTGCGTTGTGTGCATCGCTTCGCATTGCTTGGTGCTGCTTGACGCTGCTTTGCATTGCGTCTGTTCTAAGACAACTGACGCTGCTCGCACTAAGGGTTTTTTAATTTCTTTCCACGGGAACTGGGCCTGTGGGCCGCTCTGGCTGCCACGTGGCTGCAACGTCGCCTACTCATTGTCTCGCAGTGGTTAGCACTTCTTGGCATCGCTTTGCGTTGCATAGATTCTCATTTCTAAAAGGAGAACATAGACTCTACCCCCTCGGGGTTATCCGACATTTTTTGTTTTGACATAAGACTTGTTCACGAATCCCTTGCAAAAAAATTGACGAAGTGCACACGGGCGCGTCGTCGCGCGCGCATGCCGAAATCCTTCAAATACCTTTAGTGTCGGAAGGATTTCGCAATCGAGTTTCCAAAAAACATACCAAAGCACAGGGTTTCGCATCACTGATTTGCAAAAAAAGCTTACGCGCGAACTCTTGCGAAATCTTAAGAAAACCATAGGTTTTTCAAGATTTTCACCAACATGCTTCCAAACAGGCTTCGCGCGCGCATGTCGAAATCTGTCGAACATTCTTGCGCGTGTGCCGTCGCGAGAATTCTCTGCAAAAAATTGGACGAAGTGCAGTCGCGCGCGGTGTCGCGCGCGTATGCTGAAATCCTTCGAAACCAATCGGTTTTGGAAGAATTTCAAAATCGTGTGTCCAAAGAACATGCAAAAACACAGGGTTTCGCAACACGGATTTTCAACAAAAGCGTGCGCGC